ACGTTGTAAAAGGTTCGTGAGTCAACCAGGTAATAATAATTTTCCATAATTTCAAGGATATCGGAGTTAATGTCTGGTAATTCTGCTTTATCATTGACATATCTTAAGAGCATTGAACATTTTTCCTTGATATTTAATTGGGTAGTCGTAATATTTTCATTGTATGAGAAATAATCATAAAAATTCAAAATATGTTGTGCTAAGAAAAAAGTCAAATAATAATGATTTTGCTGTGCTTCATTAACAATTGTTTCCCAGTTTTGTAAATCATCAAGCAAAATCTTTAATAAATTTTCCATCTCTTGAGTAGTATGTGTGGATGCTTGAAAATCACGGTATTTAAAATGTCCAAGTTCTTTCAGCGATGAAGCAGCATCAATTATTTCTTGTGCGAGATCAACTCTAATAACAAATTTATTCATATGTTCTAATGTGATCTCGTTGGCTTTAATATTCTCAGCATCTGAAGTCTCCTCATTGATGAAAGCCTTTGTATTGGTAGGAGCTTTTGCGATCAATAAAGCTCGGCCGCGCAAATCTTGAAGGTTTTCAAAGGTATAGTTTGCAATACTGTCTGGTGAAATTTCAGAAGAATATGACAGTGTTGCCGTATATCTATTTTCATCATCATTCATTTTCTTAAATAAATACACTCCCTTTGTCACTGAATAGAAAATTTTTTCTTTTGTCATTTCTCCACGATTATAAATGTTTTTGCATATATTTTTTAATGCTTGGGCATTTGCATTACATAATCGTAATTTGGAAGCAAGCGACGGATTTTTCTTCACGATGCCGCATAGAATTTGTAAGAATCCTTGCACCATCGAATGCTTACTCTTATTATCTCCTTTTTTTTCTTCAAATAAAGGTTCCAAAATTTGTTTTACTTGGATAAATGTCTGGACCGTATTTTCTTGGATCAAGCGCTCATCTGAATGGTCATCAACTCCATTGATCAAATTTTTAAGATTATGTCCGACAAGTGACTTAAGAAAAATAACAAAACCTATAGCAGAACAGATTTCTTCAATCACTGACCAAACATCATTTGTCAATGATGACATCTTTTCATTTTTATCAAATTGATCAAAAGTTTTTTCTAGCTGGCAAAGTAGTAATTCTTTATCTTCTAAAGTATGAATCAATTCTTCGACCCAAAAATCTTGATCACATGAGATAATATCCAATTTTAAAGCTTTAATAACAGCCAAAAGTTGATGTAATCTTTCCAATGTTGATGAGATAATAACTAAAAATTTTAGAGATTTAATTAATTCTTGAATTTTGTACGCATTATTAAACCTGTTAAAATAAGGGGTCATAAAATTAATTTCTTTATCAACGTGTTCCACATTTATATTTTTCCAGAATTCATTTGCGACAGTGCATTTAATTTTTTCCCATTGATCATATTCTATGCACATGGTCTTATAATCTTCAACAGCCACTTTAAACAATTCATTCATTGCTTGTTCAACTATTAATTCTGCCTTCAATGCATTTCGAAATACGTTGTAAAAGGTTCGTGAGTCAACCAGGTAATAATAATTTTCCATAATTTCAATAGTCATGGCGTGCATTGACCAATGATCTTTGACGTATGATTCCTTAAGTGTGGCATCATTTAATCTTTTTACTAAATCGTCAAAATATTGTTTCACATCTAGAACTAGTTGGGGAGAACAGAATTTCTCATAAAATTTTTGGAGGCGTTCCAAAGTCGAATTATATTTACAGCATTGATTGTAATACTCTTCTATGATTTCGTCTGTAATGATATCATATTCACCCGGATAATTCTCTATAGCACAGTTAAGATAATCCTTGAGACCTCTGTTGTCATTGATAAAGTATTTAAAAATTTTTTGAAGAAATCTTATTGTGATGGTGCGATCTCTAATATTCATAGCCAGATGAATCACCGTTTCGCGTGTTTCTTTAAAATATGGATGAGAAAATAATTTTTGTTTACAACCTTTTGCTTTAAATATGGTCATCCAAAATTTTGCAAATTGAAATGACAAAAGTTGAAAAGATTCTATTTCAGAAAATCTAACATCTTTCACTTGTTGCAAGTGGCCAAGTATATCACATAAAATTTCTTCACAAATGCTAAATGAAATTTCGTGTTAATTTGAGATATAATTTGAAATTAATTTTGCATAAATTAAATGACAATATTTCTTACTAATTTCGGATATTTAAACTCGTTGTGCTATTACAAATTTGCATTATCATTTTCAAGAGACGCTCATCAGGAACTTGAACGAGAGGTCTGACTTTGTTCTTGACCAAAGTCGTAAAATGAGTTATTATATCTTCATGAAAATCGGTAATACGTGATGTAATGGAGAATATAGAATCATCGGGTAACGACATCACGATATTATGGCTCAACAACTTATTTAAAATTTCTTGACCATGTGTCGAAGTGGAATACATCGATGAAAGATAACGGAAAATGTCGTAAGCCGAACTTCTTTGTCTACAGATATTTGTAAACCATTTAATCGATTCTTGCTCAAGTCCTTTTTTAATTGTCTGGTTGAAAGAGGTCCCTAAATTTAATCCCAAAATAAACTTATAAATTTCAGGAAAAGATTCTAATACAATTATATGATTGGATTCGGCAATTGCCTTGAGTACGCTAGCATATTCTCTATTTTGCCACCCCAAATTAGGTTCTTTAAGAAGTCTATGAAGTGAGAATATATTTTCGTCATTCCAATATAGTTGTTTGTCGTTAACTAATCCCAATAGTTTTTTACGAATTTCATGCAGAAAAGTTTTATTCTCCAAATCTTCAAAATTCTCTTGTAAGTGTACGAGACATTCCACGCTATATGACATCTTAATGACCTTATTCATAGTTTTATTTAATGCATTAAGATTAGAATCTTCAAGATAATTAATGATAGGCTTAATTTCTTTCAATAATTTTATGAACTGGCCAGGTCGTCGTTTGTAATCATATATTTCTATTGAATCTATAAATGAATATGATGTATCAAATTTAGATGCAGGCGCAAATATTGTAATCCAATCTAAAAAACCATGTTTAGAGTTGTGTTGAATCAAAGCACTAAAGGCTTTCACGACCATGCGTTCTGCATTAGAAGGCAGATTAGAATAATCGTCGATGCTATTAAATTCCTTTATAACGAAGGAGGATGGAAATTCATTAGGTAGACTGGGTTTATGTGACCAACCCCTTTGTTGATCCATGTAATGACCAAGGAGAACATGCGAAAATAATACTTGTTCTTTTGTTTTACTTGTTGATAAATTCTGGGTTATGAAACCAACAATTTTTTTAAATTCTTCTCTGTGTGTAGATAAAATATGTTGATAATCTATGATCCCGTTTTTTAAGTTATCAGAAGAATTGATAGTTTTGTAAATATAATCAACAAAAGCATAATCTTCGCTTGAAGCTTTATTTTTTTGAAAATCTTCGCTATCACTCCAAACTTCATAAATATTTCCACGATGTATCAATCGTCGATCATATCCGCCTTCAAAATTTAACGAATGAATCCATGGTGAAACTAGACAATATTTGTATTCAACATAAGGGGTTGCTGAAATGTGCACAGGGTCAGATACCCAAAGAGTAGAATTTGGAATCTGACGAAGAAATACTTTAGGTTTCTTCCAATAACCTAAAGTTTCGCAATTACCCAAAACTGTGGGATTGTATGAATTCGTATCAAATGGTAGATGAACATGAAACACAGTAGTAATGTTTATATCTTTTCTATTACTCATATTTAAAAAATTGAATCCTTTTGAAGTAGATGAAATAAAAATTTGTGATAATGGTTTCTTTCTGCGTGAAATACTATATACGTACGGTGCACCTTATAGAGGCGATATAAATAATGAAAATTAAATATTTTCCTTTATTTTTTTTTTGTGTAACCTCTTGGTCGTCTCTTTTTATCCGAATATAGCTTAACTTTTACAGTATGTTGCAGCGCTAACTTCATACCGTACAACTTTTGGTTGCCTATTTAAGTAGTCCGTTTATAACTAAGTTCTACGCACACTAGATGCAGGGTAAACCCTCTGCGCTACAATTAAATATTTTCTAACTTTATTGAAGTCGATAATTTAAAGAAATATTTGATTTTAATGTGTAACTATAGATTTTAGATTTCTTGCGCCGTGCTTGCTTGCCTGCAGTTTTAAATAACAGGAGGAACTGTCG